AATAAGGATCCTACTATTTGGAGTACTATAATTAGGGTCCCCTGTTTTCGGAAACCCCCATTCTCACCCCATATGAGAAGACCGAGGGCCTGAGGCAGTGAATGGCACGGATAGTCTACGGGAGATGTCTTATACAGGGCCTTCGCCTTAGAAAACGCTATATATACATATTCTGTCTGTATATATTAATTTCTGCCATTACAGGAGCAGTCCGCAAATTGTGGGAAGCTTGGCATTTCTCATAGGCTTTGTTATGGGTTTCAGGGCTTGGTCACAGTCACGCTCCAACCCCAAGACCCTAAAGCCAAGTCCTACACCGTAATCCTTTCATTCAGAGTGGCCACGTGGGATGGCGGTAGTCATACTCCGATCAGTTGGGAAAGGGGAACCATCTGAGTAATTCGCCTGAGTAATACGATGCTGTCCATTGCAAGGAGTCGGCCCAGATGGCGAAGATGGAGAGCCTAGGCCGTCAGGTGCGGTTTAGGACGTGAGGTGCAGGATTTCAGAGTGACACTGTACAAGGGTCAGGAGTTGGGATTTGGGGTTCGGGGTTTAGATTTTAGGTTCAGGAGAAGGTCCCGTGTGTAAAAACGCTTTAAGGATATGAACTTTTGGCTCCTACCAGGCCGCCTCCTACTACTACGACTACTACTACTACTACTACTACTACTACGACGACGACGACGACGACTACTACTACTACTTTCTGTTTGTCTCTCTCTCTCTACACACACACCGGAAATGGCGTTGCATTTCAAGCATGTCAAGCTTACTACTGAAACGTCACTTCTCGCCCCTGGATAGCTCAGGAACATGGAGGCAGAATTTAAGTCCTTGGAGACCGAGGCTGCCCGGGGGGAATGCGCGAAGAGCGGCCCGGGCTCTTTTGGTGGAGTTGGCTCTGTCAGTAGGATTCAAGCTACTATAGGCTACACAGACTTCCACCCAGATAGAATATAAGAGCAGGCCAGCATTCCTCCGACAAAAGCGAGCTGGGCTGCCTTACACCCCGAAAACATGAATCCCAAGACTCTTGTTTCTGAGTCCCCAAGCGCTGGCCCTGGCCTTCTTCTCCCCTTCCTGCGAAGCTGAGGGATCAGGAAGAATACTATGTGGGGTTTTCGGAAATCGGGGACCCTAATTTAGTACCCTCAATAGCAGGATCCATATTACAAGGACCGCAAAAATAAGGTATCCCTAACTTCGGAAACTCCCATGTCACCCCTCACTTCTTGACCTGTAGCCGACAGGTTCGCCAGCTGCTGGCACAGCGTGAAGGTGGCTCAGCAACCAATTTCGCCCCACAGGACATTGGGAATTGGGGCTACCATGGTCTGTCGCCTCCAGTAGGCCGTTGCATTGCTGCCACACGGGTTCCTCGTATCCTGGTCTCATTGTTTACGGCCGTCGTGTTCGCAAAAACTGGCGGCAGGATGGGCACCTCCAGTCTTAAAGTCTTGCACAGTGCCCGTAAAATTGGCAGCTGCTATAGTAAGGTTGAAGATTGCAGCGGCAGAAGTCGTAGCAGTCGTGTACTCTTTGAAGTCATGACCCCTCGGTTGATGCATGGAAAAATGTAGTGCCATGTGGGTCATTCCCCTTTGGATCTAGATGTCAAGGTAGCCAGTCTGTGTGCAATTAATCTTTGCTATCAGTCTTGAGCAGGATGATTCTGGTTTTGCTAGGCTGGTGTACCTGGTGATGCTCATGCTCCTGCTCTGACGCCGCTGTCACCATGTGGCTTGTGATGCGCACTTTGCCATTCCCAGGCAAGGGGCCAAGCGCGCCAGAAGAGGCGAAGCTCCTTCAAAAGACACTGGTTCGGGGTCTCTCGAAGTAACAAGCCTGTACCTCAGGTCTGATTTCTGGGGAGGTGCATTCGAAGTCACGAAGTCCGGGTTGACTTGCTGGTCTCATGTAAAGGACAACAAACGCCGGGGGCAGATATGATAAGGACTACACGAGAAAGTTGGAAGCTCCGCAATGACAACGATCATTTGGACAAGTGCCGGCGAGTGGGCAAACCTGCAACGGTCATCTTTGCCTTGGGCTGTGTCATTTTTTGGCGAGCCTGGACACATACATTTCCTTTGCTCAGACCTAGAATCCACAAATGCGAAGAACGCCCAGTTTCAGGTTCTCAGCCGGGTCGAGACCCAGCACCCACCCACCCAAACACACACAGCGTTTCCTGGCCCTTGCAAAGGCTGCGTCTGTGTGGAACCTTTGCTTCGGGGTCTTAGTGACTTCTGAAGAAATCCTCGGTACCTGAGCAGCCCACCTTTATCAGCATAATAGGGTGTTTTGCTTTGACCTTGTGGCATGCTTGCGGATCATGCAGGGAAGGCCTCGCACACCCTGAGAATTCAGTATCCTATACGTTCATGACCCGGTCACATTCGGGGTGAAGGTGTCATTGGATGATGTGCACCATCTTGAAAGTGTGTTTTGCGCTTGACTGACTGCACGTTTTGGCAAAAGTTTTGGTACCCAAAGGCTCACGGCCAAAAGGTGCTTCGATCCATTGTCGAACATTCAACAAGCCTCCCGCTGCAAATCAACAAGTCTTGTATCAAGACATGTTTGTGAGTGCTGTACATGGCACGGAGCATCAATGTCCTGTGGAGGCTGGCAGAATTGTGGCTGTTACATTGCCGACGGACGTTGGCTCCCTAGACAACCATGCCGCTCGGAAAAGCCAGTTTAGGGAACAAGGGTGTTCATGTACGGCAATCATCATTCGCATTGAAGTACAAAAGCGGCCAATAGCTGCGGCTGAAATCGTACTGTGTGAGACATGATCATACAAAATGCCGCGTGCAAAGCACAGCTCATGAGCATGATTCGTCGAAAGGTGAAGAACGCTTCTGACGATATTTCTCAGATGTGCCGTGGCATTGCATTTTTCACGGCTCGTGATGACTCTGGCAGTTGGTGGTGGTGAGAGGAAGAAGGGCTTGAGGCGACTAATTCAAGATGAGCATCATGGCTGTTGCTGCAATTTAAGCTTCTGCATCTGAGGCACGACCCAATTGTGACAATTCGATTGTGGATGTGCTGTGTGCCATGCGACTGTTTAAGCTCAGCAGGCTACAAAGCATCCGGCCCTCGCTCTCCCCGAGGCTCTCCCTGCAAGGCAGCTCTTTTTCAACTCAGGTTTGAAGGGTGCAAGGCACCGCGAGCTCCACGGGCGGCCCAGGCCCGTTCCTCCCAAAAGCCGACATGCGACTCAGCTCTGCTTAGGCTCTGTAGTCCGACCCTAAACCCTGTAAACCAGAAACCCTGGTGAGGAGATGTTAAAATGGCCTCCAATGAACTCTGCTCTTCTGAGTCTACGGACGGCAAAACTCGCCCAACAGACTGTTCGGCAGGTTCTTCTCACCGAAGAGTCTGCTGACACCGTTTTTCAGGCGCCCTGCCCGGAGACTTTTCAGGGACTCGGGGTTCGAGTGGGAAGTCGGACCCCCGGCAATTTGAACCGACGAGATGTCAGTTTGCTGTCAGGACAACATCAATGCCTTTTTGCGTGGACTAGTGAATGAGTTCTCGAAGTGAATGAATTACTGAAGTGCTTCATCACTTCCCCTTCATCTCAGTACGCAAACCGCTTGTGACCGCGTCCGAGCCCGAAGGAGTCCAAATCGAGTGACGACTTCGAGACCAACTCCTCAGAAAAAAGGCCCGCGTCCCCATCACGGGGCCTATGCTTCTCAAAGTCTGATGGCTCCATAGGTCCCATGAGTCGTGGAACACCCCATTAGGCTCTCTGCCCACGAGCTGCTGCACTTCCCACCATGTTGGCCTTATGCCTGGACCGCTGGTTTTTGCAATACCCTCCACAGACCAAGACCAAGTTGCCAAGTGCGTATAACACCTGAGCGCATTCATGGCACATGCAGTCAGCAAAAGTGTCGACATCCAAAACATCCCCGAGTGCGTCCCATGCATCAGTTTACCGAGCTACAGGGAGTGCCAACAATTCGGGATTGCGTAGGATTTTACCGGCATTCGATTCAAATTGAGCACATTGGCGGACTTGAATGAGTCTGTACTGCTGCAGGGGGACTTTCGAATATGGATGCTTGGGTTTTGGGGTGGGCTTGAGCAGCACATGAGGAGTGAAGCGCAAGTTGTGCGGTTGGGCTATTGGAGATCTCCGGAGACCGGAGCAGCCTAAGCAGTGCTCTACTTGTCTAGCTCAAGGATCTCCCGTTCCCTAGGGCTCCAAGTATACAAATAGTACCTACTTTGGGGCCTAAAGTCTGTAAATAGTACCTACATTGGGCTATTTGGAGCCCCAGGGGTTTGCTCCTTTGTGAGCAACATCCACTGTTGCCTTTGGCAGCCTGAGCCTTAGATCCGAAAAACCCCTAAACGCTAAATGCCCGAAGTACACTCCTAAACCCTACACCCAAAACCCCTAAACCCTTAACCCCTAAACAGGTGTGGGGCCAATGACCTGGCAGCGAGGCTATGAAAATGAAGCAGAGGTTTTTGGCTCTTTCTTTATGCTCGCAGGCTTCTTCTTTAGAGCTAAGGCCGTTCGAAACTCACTTTGAGCTTGCATGTTTGCTGTGAAATGGTAAGTATTGTTGGGTGGAGGAGGAAGTTTGTTCTTCCCAGTCGCTGCCAGCTGAGGCGGTGATCCAAGCCCGCTGGGATCATGGACCTCGAGTCAGCTGCTGCCCGGTCTCGCGAGCGGACCGACCTGCTTCTTGAGGGTGTACCGGTAGCAAAGTGCGGAGCCTGCTACTTATATTACATTACATATAAGATATTATATTAAATTATACTCTGTTACAATTTATTTTATTATATTGTAGCTTGCAGGACTGTGGGTTGGCTGTCCAATAAAAGGGCACAGCATTCCTAGATCTGTGGCTTGTGGGTTGGGTATGGAGCTCGGAAACTAGAGTGTAGCGGTCGTCTACCCTGGGCGGCACGCTGTGCAAGACCATCCTGTTGAATTGTTGAATGGTTTCGTTCTTGAACTGTTTATGCTACCCAACGACACGCATGCAAGGTGCACCGGGGTTTGCCGTAACGGGAACAGGCTGTCCGTAACCGGAACTCGTAGCAGGAACCAGTCCTGAGAGACAGTAACAGAGAGCGCACGGTTCCCGCAACTTTCAGCGCAGCACCTGGTAGCAGAAACCGCGTCCTGCGGACCTCCTGTCGATCGTGACTTTTGTGTCGGCTTTTAAACTCAGGGACGGCTTTTCGGTCCTTGAGTTCTTGAGACCTCTCAATCTTGTCGGAAGCTAGGCATTCCACTACTGTAACTGGTATTCGGCCAGCCATGACCTTGTCAGCTTGTCAACTTTATCGATAAGGTTTGCTGTTTCATGCATCACTCTGAACCTATGAAACCACAGCAAATGCACATGTCTAGCGACTCTCAGCCTGCCTGCTTGTCTCGCAGCTTCTGCCTGCATGTGAGAAACACGCATAAGATTAGCTGTGTGCACCCATTCAGTATTTATGTAGCAGCATCCGCCCACAGGGCCCGCACTTTTTTTTTTCCTA